GGCATTCCTCTATTAACTTTCTCCACCTAGATAGCGTCCGCCTAAATATCGAGCGTCGAGCGAGTGAGCAAGAGTGATAGAGTGAGAGAGCGGCGCATGAGTGCATGCGTCAATCTTCCATTACCATATATATATATATATATATATATGTGTCTGTGTGTGTGTGTGTCTGTGTGTGTGTCTGTGTGTGCGCGTTCATGTGCGTGTTTGTGTGCGCGCGTGCATGGGCGTGTTTGTGTGTGCGCGCGCGTGTTGTATCCTCTATCTTGTTCTCTCTCCTGTGTTGAAAATACTTCACATCTCGTTTCAAACCAGAAATTATAATTTACCAAATACAAAAGGAAAATGTTATTTAAATTTGAAATTTAAATTACCGTAACTATTTTATTTCTCCATTTGTATTTTTACCTCACTTTTGAAATGTGCATATTGAACTAAAGAATAAAGAAAAGATAACGGACTTTTATATACTTTTTCTGCTACGTATCAATACAATATCGCTCTCTATATAAATAATTTTCAATCATTTCAGATTAATATTAATGGCCATTTATGTTTAGATGAGCTTGACATTTGTCGATTCATTCTCTCAGCATATTGCAATTTTTTATTATTATTAGCTTGCTGCCCTCTTCTATGAAATCTATCGACAATTCTTGGCGTCGTTCATTAACCCAATCGAATTGCTCTAATCCCGAGCTGTAAATCAATTAATTAATTAATAAAATTACGAGAAAATCTCGTAATGATAGAATCTAGAAATGATTTTTTTTTTTTCCGCTTTACAGTAGATGGGAGCGTTAACTAATCGTATGTTAGAACATGACGTTTCGATAAAATTCTATCAACTAAATTTCTGATTTTTACCTTCATTGGTCTTTGGTATAATTAATTATTATTTTTTTTCTTCTTCTTCTTTTTTTTATTAATTTTTTTGTTTTTAATGTCGAATCGAATTAGAAAGGAACAATAAAAAAAAAAAAAGAATTATTCAGCATAAATTCATTCGATTTATTTAGTGCATGCGACACTAACGCTATTGGAAAATCATTTATAATATTAACGACGCTTGTAAAGCTTATAAGAAAGTATAATTATAAAAGCGATCATAAAATTAAAAGAAAGACATTTAGGTAAAGACAAATAGGAACGTTTCTCGTTAAGAAAAACAAGCAAATATTTGTCGGAGTAAGATAATAAGCAAAGTACGTTATTGGATTTTTTCTTTTTCTCTTTCTTTTTTTTTTTCTTTCATAGCCTTTCTCCGACATTCACATAATTAATATAAATTTCAGATATTTATATTCGCATATTTTAATGCAATAACAATCTAATGGGACGTATTAATATGAATTATAAAACGTATTGGTGATAGGCAAGTTGAAATTATTCGACTAAAAGTGTTTTTATTCTCAAACACATATAGCGATAGAAGGGTTTATACAAAATTTTTTGAAACTTTGCAAAATAAGTATAAAGTAAAGCATAAATATTTTAGATTGTTCGTAAGTAAGTGAAACAACGAGTACATTTATTAAAAGAGACATGTGCGCATAAAGCTTATAATTAATATATTCAATTGAAATATTCTTAATAACTTTTAAGTATCAATGATATTTTTATGTAATGGTACGGAAAAAAAAAAAAATAAAATAAAAAAAGAAAAAAATAAAAATAAACAAAAAAAATTCTTCAAGTATTCGAGTCAATTTATATTTTACGCGCAATATGAAGTCGTCGTGGTAATTTCAAAATTCAACTTATATTATTTATAATTGCAGAGACAATTATCGGTGATATCCGCGGGTATACCATCAATTATTCTCCCTAGTAAAAAAATTGTTTTTTTTTTTTTGTCCAAAAATTCCAAAAATTAAAAAAACCTTGTCGAATCATAATCCAATTAATATCGACGAACGAACATTATAAAACCACATGACAATAATGTCGCATTATGAAAAAAAAAAAAAATTGCAATTTATTAATTTCACATAGTCAGCTCTATCAATTAACAAAATGTGCGCGCGTGGTTTTAGTGAATATGATGCGCGACATCCAAACACGAATGGCGGCATCTATCTATGATTATATCGTGGCCGTTCGTAAGCTGCCCTCGAACGATGTCATTATTTCTCATTGTTCCACTTCCCGACGCATTTATAATACCGTTGTAAGTTTTTAATTTCCGTTGATCCGGAAGGAAGGTATCGCTCGGAATTAATAGCCAAGCGCAGCGAACTTTTATGCCGCTCACGCACGTACACACGTAAACTTGCGCGCTTACGCGTAAGCGTGCACGTAAACACACGAGAGCGGCTTACGAAGTAAAATCGTTATTATTCGACGTGAAATTTAAATCGTTGCTTGCGAGCGTCATTACGAGAGGCTATTATTTCGACATTTACGAATAAACATTATTATTAGCAGCATTAATAAGCAACGCTCCTTACCAACGGCTTACGTTATAAATGTAACAACAGCGTATCAGGAGGCCAATGCTAAGTCACGGACGAGATAACGCAATGCGAAATGCCGCGACTCTGGCCTACCTTACTGAACATGCTCAGGCGAATGCTTAAAACGTCCATGAAGGCAAAACAGAGAGATAGAGAGAGAGATAGAGAGATAGAGAGAGAGAGATAGAGAGATAGAGAGAGATAGAGAGAGATAGAGAGAGAGAGAGAGAGAGAGAGAGAGAGAGAGGGAGAGAGAAAGCAATAAATAAAAAAAAAAAAAAGAAAAAAAAAAATAATAAATTACACGGGCAGATGCATCTCCACCGAGGCATTAACGCCCTACCTCATCGATAGGGTAGAGCGCGCGTAAAATGCAGTCGAGTCGCGATGAAAAGTCATCGAGGAGCTCACTTGTCATCCGTCGGCGAACGATCGCCTCGATCGTCGGCAATTTCATCGGGAACTCGTCGTTGCGCTCTATTCCTCCCTTCCTCCCTCCGTCCCAGACTCGATCAACGACACGTCCCCCCGCAATCGCGTGCGCCGGCGGTCCGCGGAAAAAGACAGCAGCAAAATCGCAAGCGTCCAAGGATCGGAGTTGGAATTGAGCCGCGCAGGAGGTGGGTCGCCAGGAATTTGGCCAAGCAGTAGGAGTACAAGTAGGAGTAGGAGTAGGAGTAGGAGGAGGTGGAGGAGGAGGAGAAGGAGAGGGCGACGGGATATGCGATAATAAAGGTGGATCGGGATCGGGATTTGAATTGGGATTGGGATTGGGATTGGGATTGGGATTGGGATTGGGATTGTGATCGGAATGAGGGAAGCGCGCTAGTCGGCTTAGTCGCACTCGTCTTGACAGCGCGATCCTGCTGAGGCTGACGGCCGACGGCCCCGAGGAGCCTCTGACGTTGGCGCTCGCCTCGCGCGTCGGGGAAAACCGGCGGCCAATCGGGCGCCTCCTAGCCGCGGCTCTGCGCACGCACACCAGAAATATCACTGACGTGTCCTCGGGAACGGGCGCGACGAAGACGGAGATAGCTCGGGGGCCTTTGTGAGCTGGCGATCACCGTGAGAGAGCGAGAGACCCGCCGCTACGTACCAGAGCTGAAGCGCACTTTGGGCGATTCATGATCATTCGAGATCGCGGCCGCCTTCCCGTGACATTACAACTGCACCAGCCGCTTCGAGCGTTGGGGTCGCGCGACGACATCCACACGACAGCCAGTAGCGCCAGTATCGCCAGTGCCGCCAGTGTATCCCGTGCGATCGATCGCCCAACGAAGCCGGAGATTATAGTGAGCGAGAGCCCGAGACGAGGATCCCCGCGCCTACGCAAAGAGAAAGAGGAGAAAGTCGCGAAAATGGCTCCGACGCTCAACTCTTTCGTCAACTCCTTTAGCCACAGATTGTGAGTATGGCGACCACCGAGCCTTCTTCCCCTCGGCCGAAACGTCTCGTTTCGCCTCTCTGGCCTTGAGAGAGAGAGAGAGAGAGAGAGAGAGAG